ATTTTTAAGTATTTAGACAATTTTATTCTTATTTTAAAAAATAAAATAGATTATTAATTGTATGTTTTCCCTACCACCATCATGATATTTATTATGATATTATTAAGGATAAAACTAAAATTATTGTGTTTTCATGTGAGTTTAATTAAATAATAAATTTTTATTAATATATGAGATTCAATTAAAAATATTTTATATATAAGGATGGATGAAGTAATTGAATAGAATATATATTTGAGCTTCTGTCTTTCATGCTCTATGATCTGTGCACTGTCAAATGAAATAGCCTTCTGATTAAGTTGCTTCACACACCATCTTTCATAATTATGAGAAACCGTACATTCTTTTCCATCTTTGATATAAGGCAAATTTTTAAAGTTTTTTTGCCTTTAATATATGACAAAGTTAGCGTAGTTATTTTTTCCTAATTTGTTCCCTTGTTTATTGATTAATATTTCAATTCTTATACAAAATATAATATGATTATTAATTGCAAAGAAGGATAAAATTGGGAAGTTATATTTTTTGATATAGCTATTTGATTTTGAGTTATTTAAGCATTGTTGGGTTAATTGGACAAAGATATTTTCTATATTCACAAGGTCTTGAACCCCAGACTTCTTGCTTAAGAGGTTATAACCCCTTCGAGTCATATCCACGATTTGCGAGATTCCAAACAATCAATTGATAAAGATCATGAAGTAAAACATGGAAGTCCAAATTTCACGGAGACAAAAGAGAAGAACACGGACAAGAAAGGAAGGTTTCTACCACGTTGGGCAAAAGAGAACATCATGGCAGGAACTAGCAAACCTGAACTTGCATTTTGAAAAGCTGGGACCAAAACTAGGAATCATGGAGGACAGTTTGAACATCGTTGTTCTGGTAAAGAAGTGAGTAACTAGAAAGCTTGGGTTCGTACTGGGCTTAAAGAAGGATTTCTGGCTAGAACACATTGATCATGAATACAGAACGGAGTTCTTTGGTGAGCAGCATGATTGGATTAGAAGGAACGTTAAATCACAGAAGAAAGCACTTAGTGTTCCTTATAATTCTTACTTTCTATTGCATGCTAGCTTCTTTGGAGAAGGCATAATGAAAGAACATTCTGGAATAAAACTACCTTGCATGCAACCATTAATGCGCAAGCTTTAGCCTTTATTAATACATTCCTTGAATGTCGCACTAAACTCAAAGGAACTGTATGGAGGAAACAGGATGGTCTTATCCTCAATGGCAATTGGACTTCATCGAACGATAATTGGCTTAATGAATGTGGATGGTGCTTTTGCTACAAACCAGAATATTGTGGGTTGTGGTGAATTCAAAGCCACGTTCATGTACAAGATGAATGATAGGGATCCTCTTCATGCCGAGCTATGGGCATGCCTGTGGGGATTGAAAATGGCTTGGGATTTTGGAACTCATAAACTTATCCTTAAGTTTGACCCCTATGACGCCGTTGAAGCAATCAATGGAGCAACATTCCTCAACCACACAAACTTTGTTGTCATTTATGAGATTAGAGACCTGTTAGCTCGTGATTAGGAAGTGCTTCTGCCGAAAATCTCAAGAGATGTTAATGAAGCTGTTGATAATCTTGCAAAGAAGGCTCTTTCGTACATGGCTGGATTTTACCCTTTACTTTCCCTTCCTGTGAAGAAAGCTCTTTCGTGCGTGGCTGGATTTCACCCTTTAATTTCCCTTCTGCATAAGTTAATTACTTTCTTACAACAAGACTTGCCTGCTATTAATTAGTTTTTCCTTCTTTATCAAAAAAAGAAGTTATAACCCCTTCTACTAGGATCATTGGTTACGGTAAGTTACATATTTTTTAAATAATTTTAAGAGTATAATTACTATTTTTTAATAAGTAGAAGTTAGTTAAGTTTACTTTATATTAAAAATCAAAGGGAGTAATCTATATAATGGAAGAAATATTAACTAGTTTGTGTCAGAAAGGAAACGGATTAAAGAAACATTTATAGATACCATGGATTTATAGGAGAATCCAATAAATGTCTCAAATAAAAAAATAAATTATCTATAAGTCCTGTCCATAAATACCAGAGTCTAACATGTAAATATAAAAAATTTCCTTGTAAATGAACAAAAGAGACGATTAATTTTTTTTTTTTACATGAGACTTGAATTTAAAGAAAAAAAGATTTTGAAATGATGATTGGTGATAGTGGTTTTTGTTGAGCCCTACACATGAGGTGGGGCTCACCACGCTACTTGTCCAGGAGGGGAGGACCAAGAGAGTGTCTTTCCCTCCCAAAATGTGAATATCCCAAATTGAGTATTGTTTCCATGTTTAGCATCTGTGAAAAACGAACCGTTTTGAAATTATACTGAAATAATTTCAAAACATAATTATAAATGATCTGGTATGTGGATAGGAAATATTTGAAGCTATGGACTATGGTGTGTGAGTGTGTCTTTTTTTTTTTTTTTGAAACAACTGAATTTATTTGCTTAAAAAAAACAAAGGAAGCAATTGAATCAGAATTTGAGTGTTAATTCTTGTGAGAAATTGTTGGATAACTAGGAATCCTTCAAATCGTGACTTAAATAAGTAGATAGAGAATGCAGCAATGTGAATTCCAAGAACTAATGCTACCTCTCTTGAATTTTATTTATTAGAGAATGTCATAAAATTAAGACATTATAAAGAGGCATTAATTTAAAGGAGCATGACATTTAAATTGTAGAAAGGAAAAAAAATAATAACAGATAGATCCCCAACAATTTTTCAAAAAATAATCACAATTATCAATTCAAACAGTTACAAATTAAAAGTTACATATGAAACTTAACCTAATATGCAAAACTTTTTTTAAAATTGACTATCATCTGAATGCAATTATTTGAATCAAGTAATTGCAATTCATTTTTTAAAAAAAAATATCGAGAATCTAACTATTATTATTTCAACTTTATGAGACGTGATTACTGTCGTCTCTTAATTTAATTGGGCAGACAGTGACATTCATAAACATGATTAATGCACATAGCACACCTTTCTTGACCAATCCCACACACGCCTCAATCGCACATTCTGAAGTGTAATTGCAAAGGGCACATGCAATTCCATCTTTTCCATTTACATTCATCACCACTCTTGCTGCTTCTGATCCCAATCCTTCATCAACATATCAAAATTAATATAGAGCATCATATCAACAAGAAAAAAAAAAACAAGAAATCATGTTTTTTCTTTTAATTATATAATTTCATTCAATTCTTCATCAGAATAAATACCATAAACTAGTTAGCCAAAAAAAAATTATTGCGTAAAAATCATACATATAATAATTAAATTCTAAAAGATTAAATTAATGACAATTAGATGATTAGATCCCCAAAAAAATTTTCTAAAAAATAAATTGTATATATCAATTCAAACAAAAACTTCTGCTATAATCTGAGAGTTATATTTAATAATTAATTGTATGTATCAATTCAAACAAAAACTTCTGTTATAATCTAAGAGTTATATTTAATAATTAAATACTTATTTACAATTAAAATTTCTAAATTTATAATTATTTAGATTGATGTTTTTGACTTATTTTTCAAAAAACTTTGTAGGAAACTTATAAGTCATTAATTCAATATTATAAGACCTAACTATCATTTCTCCTTAACTTTTGGTAAAATATATACTTCTATCGAGATTCATTTTTCATAAAAAAATAATAAAATAAAAATAAGAATATGCATATACGCACACATAGTAATTTTTGGCACTCATAATACAATGAAACCACCAAAAAAGGAATAAATTAAAAAAAACATCTAATCTAAACATAAAATCTCTGGGTGAAGAAAAACCATGCATATAAGCCAACAATAGTTAGCTAGGTCCAGTAAAAAAGGCTAATACGATACATAGTGAACCAACATTTAATTTTTTATTAAAAGTTGTGTCAGTATTTGATTATATCTTAAATAAAATTAATTCAATAAAAAGATATATGTAAAATTAAAAAAATTTCAATATGTATAGAGAAATGTCACTATCAAGGTTGCTCTACATGCGTCAATCATCTTTGTCAATGTCACTATCCTCATTAATTCCTCTTTCATTTTCCAGTACTTCAGTTCATCTCATCAATAAATTTCGTATTCTTTGTTATCAATTTCAAGAGAGCTACCTATGTGCGGAGGGCCTAGAAGTGGAAACATCTAAATTTATTTCTCTTTAAACTTAACGTGCTCAATTCTCACAAATAAATTAGATCCAAACTTTCACATCTTCATTTTCTAGATGCTTATATAGTCAAGTTATATATTCAACAATCATAGGAATCAGTTTTGCTGTCCAACCAAACAACTCAAATCCTAATTCAACAGTGTTCTGACTGGTTTAATAGAATACTATATTTATAACCTATTTAACCGCACTAAAACCCATTAACCCTTGAAATAATATCTTGACTGGTCATTTCAATATCTTGTTTTAAATACACAAAATAGCTTCAAATATTTTCTGTGCACATGCCACCTCATTTATAATGAAATCATTCTTCAAACCCTTGTCTATCATTATTGGTACTTGACTGGTATAGAATACAATTACCGTTCCTATTTTAAAAAAAAAAAGTTATTGCCCTTCCATTTGATTCTTGTCTGTCCACACAGCACAGTTCCCGAACCACTTGTACTAAGATCTTTCTTCAAATTCTTGTCTATCATTATTTGATACTTTCAGGATTCCTGTTGTTCAATTTGACTCACATACACATGCCAGACTGCAAGCATTTCTGGGCAATGCGTGCATCCATAAAGCAGAGAAAAATGCATAATTGGTATTTAAAAAAAAAAAAAAGCATAATGACAGAAGTATGAACTAGCCAAATAACAATGAACTAGATTAAGGACATTCATTATTGCCTAAGATAACATATCACCTACCTGGACCTAGTGAAGTTGAGAATGGTGAATTTGGATAAAGTTTACTTTTCAGTTTTACTAAATTTGTCAAAACACAGCACTTGTCAACTTCAGGGAATTCCCACATCCCACTATCATTTTCTTCAACAAAATTATAACTTGTGGGTATTTTTCTACAAATCAGCGAGACGTAGTTGCTTACGTAAAGAAAGAATTTTGACATATCATAATTCTGTTTTAAACCGTGCAGCAACCCCAATCAACTGCACCTAAATTAGAGCTCATAAACATTCTTCCACGTAAGACAACTCTACTGGAGAACCCTATAGCAAAGTGCAAACATGCAATCCTTGAACCTTCTATCAAGTAATATCTACCTTGAGAAAAATGAAACAAGAAGAATATGAATGCAGCAAGAATACATAGTTGTAGCAATGATCACTCCTCCTTTGAGCACATTGAAGAGACCAACTTGACAATCTGTGTCATTGGTGCATCATTCTGCAGGAAATAATTTTAGTTAAAATTAGCCACATAGTGTTTCTTTTTGTTTTCTTTTTAAAATGATCACTTCAATTGAACAAGTTTTATGGAAGTTGGTGTCAGCTACACATAGTTTCCATAAAACCTATTAGTATTTCATTGAAAGAGTAAAAGTTATCATCTAAAGTCCAATCACCAGATGTATCTATGTATAAAGTTTGACATTATGAAGTTATTCTTCATCAATATATAGGTACCATAGGAAATAAACATAATTGCCATTGTGGTCATATATATTGGAAGAAACCAAAAATATGATGATATATTGCATTGTATCTGGTCAACTTACCAGAAGAACAACATCAAACGATTCTTGATAGCAGCTAAGTGAGTTCTCAATGTTGTGATTCCTGATAAAAACAAAATGGTACAGCAGCTCAGTAATTTCTTGTTTTTTCAAAACTACTACACCAAATTACTGCAAGAAAGGGAAATTAGAATTTGAAGAACAACTATAAAGATGTCCATTTGCAGACAGAATAAACATTCAAAGAAACAGGAAGACATTGCTCAAACTATATCAGGTCATTTGAGAAGACAAAACAAAAGGCTTCTCTGAGAATTATGTCAATTATGGCATAATATCCAAAGACTTCCTACAGTCGTCCCAAACCCTCAAAGCACGATGAACAAAATAGAATCAGATCGTGAATGTAACTTGTGGCATTATGCATTTAGGAGGTAGAGGAAGAAGGGCCAAAAAAAAAAAAAAAAAAACCCTATCACATCCGGAATCTAGATCATAAAACAGGTGATATCAGTTTAATTTTTTTTTTTAAAAATGATGACAATTTGCTTTTCAATGTTCTTTGGCCTTTTATTCATAAGCTGAGCTAGCAAAGTTTAATGTTTTCTCAATTATCCCCCTCATATGCTGTCATTCAATGCTTTAAATTAAAGCTACTAAGAATCTTTTGGAAAAAAGTTGAGAGAACTTGATTAAATACTTATTTTGCTATCGCTACAATGTTGCTTCATTCCTCTCTTGAATCAGCTCAATGTCGACATTTTCATAAACCAGTTCAATATCAATTTGCTATGAACCTACTTGCAACTGATCAAACTAAACAAAATTTTATTGTGTGAGAGAGAGATGAGCCATCAGTCCAATATAAACCACCAGTTTTGTATTTTTATCCTCAAGCTTTACTTGCACAGCTAATTTAGGATGCACTTGGCAGACAATTATTTAGTCCTCCCTCCCATCCTTCTCCGTGTAGATATAAGACAGCAGGAAACCATCTAAATTGTAACGCAAAAGTTTTTTATTTTTGTTTTCTTCTGTTAATTTTCTTCCCAGTGTACTCATACATGTATTATTTTTTTTAAAAGAATGAATCCCTGAATAAATTTTGGGAAAAAATAATTTCATAAATTGACACAACTGACTTCAAGAAATTAATTAGCTGATCAATTATAGATAGAATGTTTGCATTTTACATCACCATTATTTTGACATGTGATATAATGTCAAAGAATCTGACTATGTTGCAACTTAAGTATAAGATACTATCAATGATTATTGTATCATTATATGATTATGATAAAGAGTAGATAAACAACCAAAATAGTAATAGTTGTTGGTGGTCTTTATACGAGCATCCACAACACAAGCATATTGTTGTACAAATATATATCTATATTTGTGAAATATTACAGTGAATTAAAAAGAAAAAAGGAAAAAGGCAAAGGGATAATACAGATTAAGGAGTGTAAGACAAATGATCTTCTTTCAACAAGGCACAAGACATATAGAGAAAGAAGATCGAGCAAAACAGTCTAGATGTCTCGATGATATACAAGTGTATCTTGATTTTCATATTCATCAAATTGGACAAAATCCCATCAATCAACCATAGTCCCCTGGCTTTATCAAGGGCATGGAACCAACCATTTAAAAACTATCACAATGAAATTAGGTGACCCACAGTGACATTCATATGTTCTTTTCATAATTGGAGATAAATTTTACACGTTTCTTTTCTTAATTGTGTATGTGTGTGTGTGTGTTTGTTGTTATTTGACACGGAAGAAAACAATACTTTTAACTTACAAGAACCCCACAGATATTCGAGTCTCGTAATTCAAACCATCAGACATTCCCAAGTCTCCAACGTGGTCACCAAGAAGAAGAACATTGGTTCTATTCTTGACCGAGGCATTGTCTTCAGTAGGATCATCCCCATCACCCAAATGACTATGAACAGGAGTACCCATATCAAGGGCATGTTCATTTTTGTTAAGGCTATGAATCAATTTTCCTGTGTGAATGAAGTTGGTATGTTAGGAAAATACAGAAAGGAGATTTAAAAGCCACCAAAGATTATTGGTTCATAACAAAGCCAATGAGAAAGATTCAGCCAAGTAAAATGTTGCAATTCAGCTACCTCAGAATATAGTAATTATCCAATGAAAGCTATATGGGAAAATCTATCAATTTACAGTATTATAACTATATATTCAATTATTGTGTTTTCTAGCATGGCAAAGCATGCTACTGCAACTCATAAGGATTGCATATTACTGCAACTTTTTCAGGTTACTAAATCTAAATTCGTTGTCTGTGTCTATATGTCAACATCTTCAATATTGTAGTATGAGGAATTCCAGGTAGAAACTGGAGAGCCATTATTTGATTACACCCAGGGAGACAATAATCGTAGGGCAGTAGATAGAGAAATATGCTAGTCGATACACAGAAGTAATTATTATTAAAGTGTCGATTGTCAACTAGACAAACATTTACGTTACTTTACATACTAAGATGCTTGAAGCCAGTTATTAGCAATAGCAAGAGGTATTAGTGGTCCTATAACACAAATGATTCAGTGATGCAGATTCCTGAACTATTTGCTGATCTAACAAGAAATTACTGATAGATTATCCTCACCCATGCGTCTTAAGTAGATAATTTCTCCAGAAGGATCATTATAATTAACAGAACTTCAACTGAGACTTGAGAGCTCATATCGTAAAGAATTTGGTCAGGTTTACATTGCCTTAGAGGTTATATAATTTGGGCACTCCCTGACAATTCATAAGCTCACCTAGGATGTTACTCAAGAATTCCTGCGTCCTGACATCGACAATGTTATTTCACACATTAAAGTATTGACATAATATAGGCCATCATTGGCTGTATTCCTTCCATGCATGGAATCAATTAACGTAGCAGTACACAACAAGACACGTGTAAAATTTAAAACATTATCTGCCAAATCCTAAGTGACATCTTCATAAAGACTTTCCTCATTTAGGAAATGACAGAACAAGTACTGAAGACCTTCACATTGTTTTTCCAAAAATTTGCATCACCCTTGTTGGAAATAAGGAAAAAAAAAAAAAAAGAGATCTTCTGAAATGAAGAATTTAAAACGTGTATGTCAATTTCAAGAGTGATATGAAGAACCAACATGACACAGCTAATCGACATTGACTACATGGATGCACCTTTAAAAGATGCAAGGTGGCCATCATCATCAAACACCATTCTGTTGGATACTATCCTCACATTTGTGAAAATTCTATGAAGTTTTTGTCTTAGAACCTGTTACAACCAAAAGAAGAGTCCACTGCACTTAAGAGGCAAAAATAACAACAGAGTAAAGCATAAAAAAAATTGAATATGCAGACCTCTTCTATGATATCACCAAGGCCTGCAGAGAATATTAACACAGGAATGCCTTTTTCCTGCAAAGTACAAGTGGAAAATGGGAATTCATGTCAGTTTGCATACCATATTGAGAAATCATATTCAAGTGATTCACTTTATATAAGAACACATTCACTAGATGAAAGAATGGCATGCAGAACATTTTCCAAAATATAGGAAATATACCTCCAAAAACTCAAATAGTTCGAAAACACCCTCCCTGAAAGCAATGTTGCCATTAGCAACAGACTGTATTATTGACTCATTTGTAAGTCCCCCCTCAATTAAAAGAGCATGACTTTTACTCCACCTAAATGAACAATTAGCAATATGAGTGTTTGAAACCAAAGTAGGCTATTGCAGAAGCAAGATTATTCATAGACTTATAGATGATAAAGTTAGTTTAGCAACCACGATATGAACTTGTGAATTCAATTTTATCATCATGTTGGAAATAATCAGTGATTATGCAGTTAAAGCAGGACGCATTAGTGTCGATATTGAATGCTATTCCTAAATTAATGCATACTTTCTCCACTGGGAAACTGCGTCACATACCATTCTTCCATGAGCTTAGTTTTCTCTTCAAGTCCGATATCTGGTGAAAATTCTAATGGGTGGTAATACTCATATAACTCCTGTCTTTTGGCATCGTACTTTGGATTACCCTGTTGCACAAGGCCATGACTGCCTGCACGCTTTTAGGGATAATAGACCTAAAATCCATCTGACAGTTCTCTCTCCCTTCCTTAGAAAGGAAATTTCATAAAAGCAACGATTTGAAAACGGAGAAATTAGAGAAGATTCATAGAGAACGTACTTTGCCCTCGACTTCCATTAACCCAGAACTTGGTTAATGTGGCATCAAAATCAGCAATCACCTGGCACCAGAAAATTGTGAATATAATGATGAATTGAAAACTTGATTATGCACCATGAGAGCATAGCAGAAACTAAAACCCGGCACCAAATGCGACCACTTTTCTCAGACACTACATGGATTGAATTCACTGAGACGATAAAAATCATGAAATAACCTATAAAAATGTGACTCTGTATTATTATGAGAAACGTTAATAACCAAAAATGCATATGAAAACCTGAAGTTTTTGAGGACCAGCTGAACGAATTGCTGCAATTTTATTGGCCAGCGAATCAGGGTCACCCACAATCAATTCTGGATCTCCGTCGGCAACACTTTCTTCCATTTCCAAGTGTTTCCAAAACCTAACACAACAAAACGAAACCCTTGAAAGAAAAGAAATATGGACGCAATCACAAGGCTATTTGAAGAGCGAGGCCTATGTAATCCCCAAAAGGAAAAAAGAAAAATGAAGCTCACGGAAAGGTAAAGGAAGGTTTGAGAAAGAATAACATCAAAGGAGGGAATTAACCTGAAGCAGCGGCGAAAGAAAGGTTGGCGAAAAGTGCCAAGGGGTATGCTGGTAAAGCCATTAACGCGAGAACTCATTCGCTTAGCGAGAGGGAAGGGGGGGGGGGAGTGGGGGTGGAGAGCTTAGAGATTTTTTTTTTTTTGTTTTGTTTTTTGGATCAAAAAGAGAGAGCTCACAGACAATGCCACGTAATCATTAACGAAGCCTGGCGCGTATTTATTTTTCCGCGGCCCCGAGGACCTTTTAGTTTTTTAACGTAAAATAATCGCGAAGTTTAGTAGTTAGTGCTCCATCACGTCGCAAATTATCATGTACACCCTCCGATTTCATTTATAAATTATATTTTATAAAATTTATTTAATCTTATTTATAAATTATAATTTAACTTTATTTTTGTAAAAAAAATAACATAACATTATTTTTTATATTTTTTATATAAAAATATATTTATAATTATACACACTTTTATTTTTTATATTTTTTTATATTGATATTGATGAAATTGATAAAAATAATTTATAAAGAGAATTAAAGGAATAAATATTAATTTAAAATATTTTATAATTTAACAAAAACATATATTTTTAAAACATATATGTAATGATGTTTTAAGATGAACTAAAATTTAAGAAATTAATTAATGTTTATATATTTTTTTTAAAAAAGAAAATTTTGTGTTCCCATATTTGAGCCTATTCTATCAGCTCAATCAGACTTGAACATTTAAAAAAAAAAAACACAAAAGAAAATATCAATCTCACGGCCTTTAGATTTTTTGAGTAATCAATTTCAGTCCTTTCGGCTAATATATATATATATATATATATCAGTCCACCACTTATAAGGATACCTTTAAAAACAAAACAAAAATGTAATTTTATTAAATGAGGTCCTAATTTTTTTTTTAAACTTTTTCATCTTGGCTGTGAGGCTTAGCATGAATTAAGTGTTTTAAACTGTAGACTGAAGATAAACCTTCTTTATAATTTTCTCCCTTTGCCAGAGACTTGTTCATTTTATAAAGGTTTTGTGATGTAGTACATTTTTAGAAAGTATTTCAATCTAAATTTCTTGACCAAACAGGATAAAAAAAGAACTTCTTAAGGCCTAAAATTTTACTATAGACCAATACTAATGAAATAAAATTAAAATGTTCAAAAAAATGATAAAATTAACTCTTTCATTCCATAAAACCGTGCACACAAGCAACTTCAGTAAAAAAATTAATTGCTATGAAAAATAAACAACTTCAATATAAAAAATTTATAATTTTATTTACTATGATAATAATAGTTTGAATAAAAATAAGTGAAACTATGTACACTAACAACACTTATAAAAAAAATTAACCACTTCATTATAGGAAATGAATAATTTTAGTATGAGAAATTTGTAACTATTTAATAAAATTAAGTGAAACTATGCACACAAAAACTCTCATTGAAAAAATGACCATGTCAATATAGCTATTGAACAATTATAGTATAGAAAATTTGCAACTCTTTTTGTCAAAATAACAACATTAAGAATAAAATCAAGTGAAATTATATACATAAACAACTCTTATAAGAAAATTAATCACTTTATTATAAAAAACGAACAACTTTAATATGAAAAATTTATAAGTGTCTTTTAATAGGCTTAAATCACTAGAGATAATGAAATAATTTTAATTTTATTTCATTACCATTAAGCTACAGTGTAATTTCAAAATAAGAATATCTACTCATGATTTGACATCCTATAATCATTTACTTTTTGAATTTTATTTATAAATTATTTTTAACATATTTTATCAATATTAAAAAAAATCATAGTTTAACTCTATCTTAAAATTTAATAAATTCTCAACTTTATTTTTATTAAATATATACAATTTAATAACATATTATCTCTCTTTAATATTTAATGGAAGGTAAAAAATTTATAATAAAAAATTAATGACATATTTTATAAATAAAATTAAAAAAAATTCTTTCTGCCATATAAATCAGGTCAATTTATTCTATCAGAGTTTAGAACACGTGGAACGCCTTCAACGGCCCGAAGCATCCGTTGGCATATCATTTGTCGCTTGGCAGATTTTTTTTTTTTTTTTGTCCTCGACCAATATCCCAAACACCGCCTTCGAAATTTAAAATTAGCCAAAAATCTAACTAGCCGTTGAAGCTCTGTCCCTCTCAGGCGACTTGGAAGAAGAGAAGGCGAAGAACAAAAGAAAGTCTAAGCTCTCTGATTTTCTGAGTTCATCTCCACTACGTAAATCCAAACCGACCTGAATTTTTTTTCATCGAATAATTTCAAACCCAGAGTCCTCGTTGGGATGAAAGGAAAAATTCTCAAGAAGCTCAAAACCATCCGACCCGTTGATTATCTGAAGCAGGATCGAGTTATCCAGATCAAGGCACTCAATGGATATGTCGAATCTTTCACCAACAGCTCAAGTTTCAACCTTAAGAACCTGTTTGTTTCCCAAGAAAATGAGCCCAGGAAAGTTGAGGTACGAGAAGCCGAGGTGATTGATTTGTCGGACCGCATGAGAGATCTTGAAAACGAATACATTGACGACAAGGAGAACATTGGGCCTCCATGTCTGAGATCAAAAGAACAAGATACGTCAAGATCGTCAAAACCAGCCCCATTATCGGAGATTGACATCTCGTCTTTCCGGCGACCCGACATGAACTCGGATAGCCTATTCGACCCGCTTTTGCTGGCAGCATTCGAGCAAGCAGTGCAGGAACATGTTGAAATGAGAAAGTCAGCAGAGAAAATTGAAGATGTTGAAGAACTATTTAAAGAAGAAGAAGGAGAAGAAGAAGAAGAAGGAGAAGAACTGCCATGGAAGCTTCTGGAGGTATTTGAAGAAAAGTATCCACCTGGGGGTAATGACTCTGTAATTCTCTACACAACAACATTACGAGGAATCAGAAAGACATTTGAGGACTGCAACAAAATTCGTTTTCTGTTAGACAGCTTTAAGGTTGTTTACATCGAAAGAGACACATCAATGCACATGAAGTTTAAGGAAGAGCTATGGCAGATCCTAGATGGGAAGACTCTGCCTCCAAGGCTGTTTGTGAAAGGAAGATACATAGGAGGAGCAGAAGAAGTTCTAAATTTGCATGAACAAGGCAGGCTTAAACCACTATTTGCAGAAATCCCAGTGAGAAATTCTAACACTTCATGTGAAGGATGTGATGGGGCTCGATTCATGATATGCTCTAGTTGTAATGGGAGCCACAAGATCATCATTGAAGAAGAAGATGAAGAGAAACAGAGCAATCAATGTGTGGATTGTAATGAGAATGGTTTGATTATCTGTCCCTATTGCTCCTGCTAGCCGATGAACATGTTTATTGTTATTCTTGTATGTAATTTTTCATTTCTGAGAAGCTTGGTGATTAGTAAGAAGATTCTTTCAATTATTCTTTGGCTGGGCGATGAACTGATGATAGATGGCTGAAGAAGAACAGGCAAGTGGAATGTCTGATTCATTATTGAGAACCTTATATGATATTGATTTGTTATATGTAAAATTAAGAGATGGCAATAAATTAAAGTGTGATTTTTGGGAACTTTTTTTTTTCTTTTCTTTTTTTGAGTGAAAGAGGAATAATATTAACAAATATTTACAAGTACAACAAAGTGGCAGCCAACAGATTTGGCTTAATGATCCAATGAAAAAGCTAATCACAAGTAGATCGAACAATTCGGCCCAAAAAAAAAAGTAAATCTAACAAGGGAAAATTGGTATAAAAAACACCTCATCATCAAATTAATTGTTAAAAAAGAGTTGGAAACTTTTGGAGAATGAGATCCTTCACTGGCATTAATTGCTGAGGGCTAAATGAACTAAATGCCCTTCTTGTAAAAAAAAAAAAAAAAAGCACGAGCAAGGTCCTTTATTATCAATATTTCATAAAAGGTCTTTTGCTATTAATATGTCACAAGATCCTTTGCTATCATTAATTTTATATCAACACTTAAAATAAGGTCATTTATTGTCAATATATTGAAAAAGGTCATATGCAGTCGTCTTTAGTCATATGCATTAATTCTTCCACTATATGCATTTAAATTTTCATTATATGCAACAAAACCTGCATTTATTCAAATAATATTTTTTGATATTTTGAAAATTTTAACTTAGAAGCAGTTTATAATACTAGAAGTAAGGATTTTCAGTCAAATGTAATGATTCTACCACTATATGCATTTGAACTTTAATTATATGTTAGAAAACTTTCATTTGTTCGAATAACACTTTTATATATTCAAATATCACTCATCAATTTCTCTTATAGATATTTTTGGAAGCATATGCAATCTTTCATCCTTGATATATGATTAATCTTTAATGAAATACAAATTTCTTTCACATATTCAATTAACATTTTTGCATATTCAAATATCACTCATTAATTTTCCTTATGGATATTTTTGAAAGCATATGCAATCTTTCTTACCTAGTATGCGACCAATCATCAATGAAATGCAAATTTTTTACACATATTCGAATAATATTTTTGTATATTCGAATATCACTCATTAATTTTCCTTACGGATATCTTTGGAAACACATGCAATCTTTATTCTTTGAAATGTGATTGATCTTTATTGAAATATAAATTTTTTCACATATTCGAATAATACTTTTAGATATTTGAATATTATTCATTAATTTTTCTTATGAATATTTTTGAAAGTATATGCAATCTTTTTTTCCATGGTATGCGATCAATCTTTAATGAAATGCAAATTTCTTACACATATTCAAATGACACTTTTGTATATTTGAATATCACTTTTAAATTTTTTTATGGATATCTTTGAAAGCATATGCAACATTTTTTTCTCGATATGCGATTGATCTTCAATGAAATGTAAATTTCTTTTATATATTCAAATAACACTTTTATATGTTCTAATAAATGGAGGCCTATTTACAATTTATTGAAGTGATGTTCAAGTATCCAAAATGGTTATTCGAATAAATGAAAGAAAAATTACATTTTTAAGATATCTAAAATGCATATTTGAATATGGTTTAGTACTTGAGATTTAAATATTACATTAATGTTTTGTTTTCATGGTATCACAAATATATATTCTAAAAATGCAAATGAAAATTTTAAAAACGCATATGGATATTCTGAAAAAAGTATATGGATATTCTAAAAGTACATATGAATATTCTAAAACCACATATGGATATTTTGAAAAATTGTTCATTTTTCATAAAAACACTAAAGGATATTCTAAATGGTCACTATTGTTATATGTAAAGTTTAATCACACCAACTTAAACTATAAAGAACAACAATTAAACACCAACAAATTACATTTATCATTAAACAATAACATGCTTTTACATCCCTTAACAACATTTACTATGTTACATTATAATAAGATAGTACAAGAATCTAGATATTGTTGGCCAAACATCTTTAAATGCAAGTGCAACATTCTCATAGTAAAAGTAAGGAGATATAATGTCATTTTCTTCCACATTATCATAATTATCACTCTCCAAATCAAAATTTTCTCTTCTTTCTTTTCCACTAAAGTTGCAACTTATATACATTACCAAATGAGAGTCAATCAATAAAGCCTTAGCATCTGCATTTGCACCCTCCACTTGACCATTTGCATTCCCCATTTTGTCTACCCACCTTGGCATAAGCATAATCATCAATCAAGCTTTCAAAGAGACATAAAATTGTTGCCATATACATAACATGTTTATTGTACTCTAGTACTACAAATTATCTCTCATAAATAAGCAATGCTCATTGACAATTTAAGATCTTACTTAACCAAATTCCTTATAATAAAAAAAAGAGCTCATGTAACCATAATTTGAAATTAGATTACATGACTTAATTATGTAGCAATATAAAAATTGCTATAGATAGCTTAGGAGATGGGACTTGGGAGTACCTAAAATGAAGTCATTAATGAAAGCATTACAGAAATAATAATAGCAGAAAGATGTTCAAATACTCATAATTAACACGCCAAGTTTTCAACAAGAATAGGGTAAAGATAAAGCTTTCATTAATTAAGCAATCCATTTAAAGATTCTAAATATGCAACTTTAAGCTAGAAGATTTGTTAATTGAGCAAAGCAAACATTGTAGAGGTAGTGATCCATTATGCAAGTAAGGAAGTACGAAGAGGAAGTAAACCAATCCATATCAGTAATTAAGCAAAGCAATCTAATTTGTCATGCTGGAAGTACGAAGAGGAAGTAACATTCATAAATGAAGACTAAGGAAGTAATACTAAGAAATTCATTTTGCAACTTTAACCCAAAAGATTTGTTATAACTAAAGATTGAAGGTTAAACATATCAAAATAGATACATTTCAATCCAAAATTTTAAATAGAAGTCAAAGAGTAATAGAACAATGAAAAGTGATAAATTTTCACAAGTATTCCAAACCTCAAAGCAAAAAGATTCAAATCTATCTACAATCAATTTTGATAGTTGACTTGCTCCAAATCATTAAACATAAAATTCCAATTTGAAAGATGATTAAAGGTATTGGGGGGTAAAAAAGTGAACCTCTACTCACAAAGTTCCAAGGACATCAAAGACAATGATGATGAGAGCTCATTGTAGAAGCAATAATCCACCCTTTCCCTAAATCATCCTCTAAAGCTCCCATTGTAAAGGTAGTCAACTTCCTTCTTTACTAGAGCAACCAACTGAGAGGAATAAAGTAGACAACAACTACAAGCAACATAATGTGAGAAGCATAGTCTAAGCAAAAAACCAATGAGATAAGACGAAGAGGTGGGTGAATCGTCTGTCACTGCCACAAGACTAGTAGTGTACTTCTACATTGTTGACAATGTTTTAGGATCCTTTATCACCATCGTTGTTGAAATCACGCCTACTAGTCATTGCCGTCAAAATCATAGAGCTAGAACGATCGTATACGAGCTAGAGAGGAGGTGGGGAGAGAGAATTTGGTGAGGGCATTTTAGTCTTTTGTTGCTTCCATTTAATGCTAGTGAAGGACCTAATGTCCTAAGTCCTTCTCAGCAAAATGAAACATGATGAAGTCTTTGTAGGCAATTTTCCCATTTAACAATATCTTGCGGTGTATGAGGCTCATATTGAAAATCCTGTTATTCCTATAAGTCTAAAGTTTCCATCCTATAATGCCAAAGAGAAGTCTCCAATAAGTGCTTTATGGTTTGTGGATTGAGATTTAAGTGGAGCCATTCCTCAAGTGGTTTATTTAAGAAGTTAGCGGAGGCATGTTGTGGGACAACCATTGCAAAGCCTACCTTAGGGACACTTGCGTGTGATGTAGTCAATACCTTCAACAACATTATCACAAACATTTCAAGCAAAACTTGAAGTTATACCCCTTCTCATTTGTTCAGCATTGGTAAGCAAGCAATTCTTCTTAATTAACCATAGGAAGGTTTTGACTCTCTAGATACCAAGCCACTTCCGTATCCAGGTCCTTGGTTGATGTTCATCATTTCGCGAAAGTTCCCAATTGGATCTGTATGCAAAAGCAATTGAGAATTCACCACTGTTTGTAAAATTCCAATAATAACTATTGGGCTCCTCAGCAAGTTATGCAATGTGGTGGCAGCAATTTATAGGATGATGTTAAAGGGATGATTTTTGGGAACTTTTTCAAAATACAAATTACTAATTCGGAAGGGTTTCACTACAAGAAAAATAAAAATTAGCGATAGACATTTAGTGACAGATCTCTTATTCATCACTAATTATAGACATTAGTGATGAAAATTTTATGACGAACTAAAATCTATCACTAATTATATAAATTAGTGACGGATATAAGATGTCATCATATTTTGGTCAAATATTATAAATTTAATGACTAATCTAAATCTGTCACTAATTGCTGTCACTAAATCTTTATATTAGTGATAAATATTTTTAATTAAAATATTTTAAAAAAATACATAATTTATAATATACATAGAGAGGTTCACATAAAAAACGTTCAAAATTATCATATTAAATAATTACACAAATAATTTTTTCTCTTATTATACCTAAAATATATAATATAAAATGATATAAAAATAAAAAATATTTTTATTTTATTATGTAAGTTTAAATATAAAATAAAATTTTCACCATATGAAAATATTTTAATTATAACATAGATAATATAAAATGATATTTGTAAAATATTTCTTTTCATAACATATATTATTTGGCATTAAATAATATATTTACTAACTAATAATAAATATTGAATAATATATTTAAATAATAGTATATTAAACATATAAAAAATACATTTAAGTTAAATATATGTGTCCAATTAAGTAATATATAATAAATTTTGCATATCAAGAATAAAAGGTCGTCACAGCTCAACTAGTAAAAAGCACGTGTAAAAAGAGAAAGATTTTAAGTTCAAGATAAAGTAACGTCACATTTAAAGAGAATTAAAATAGATTGTTGACATGACGGTGACATGGCGTGGAGATTCAAGCAGCGACAATGTGACGGGTAATGATTGATGTGTACTTGTGAGGTGGCATGTGAGGTGACATGGCAGTG